TGGTGCTCTGTTCAAGTCTTCATAAGCATATGGCTGGCAATTGGAGTGCAGCCTAAACCCTCATTAGCATAAAGCTGCGCATGCATAAACTGCAGGGCGGCGCAGGCAAGAAGCGCGAAAATGCTGGCAAGAAGAACCAGGAAGCAGGAAGCCGGCGCCATCTTGTAATGGCGGGAGCGGCTCCCGACATTCTTCTTCTTCTTCTTCTTCTTCTTCTTCTTCTTCTTCTTCTTCTTCTTCTTCTTCTTCTTCTTCTTCTTCTTCCAATGCTTCCGCCATTGGTCTGACAGTTGCACCAGAAGCAAGGGTCTCCAGGAGTACTGGAATGCACCAGTCCAAGAATGTTCATGCAGCATCCTACAGTTAAGAACCACAGAACTGTAGCCATGAATTGTCAGAAGGTGGTGCCCAGGCTATGGGAATATTTGACAAACGTTGTAAGAGCCACAGACATCACTCTAACCTGAAAGTCTGGCCATCTTCTATGTTGCTTCCCCGTTGGCTTTTTCTTTCTTTTAATACTTTCTCTCCAACATATATTTTATTATACCTAAGTCTAAGCCTAATGTCTTCATTTTCCTATTCAGTAACTAGACACTTGAACAAGCCCTTCCCTCCTCCTCAGAATGCAAAGTTATGGTTATATTTGTATTTCTTCCTACTCAGCAGTGGTCTTTGCAACATTCCCTCACCTGCAAGAGCCTTTTGTTGCAGCATCCAAGTACCGTGTGACTCTGCAGTTTCACTCCTGGGTCTCTACAGTAGGGAAGCAGTCACACAGGGGATATAAGTGCTCTTTCCAAAAACTGGATCAGGTAACTAGCCATTCAATCAGTCCATGCTGTTTACACTAAAATGACAAGTTGCCACAGCAAGTACATAGTTGTATCTGTCAATGTAAAAAGCAAAATTAAAATGAGCTACTGAGATCGATAATGAATATGAAAATATGTGATACAAAGTGCTAAGTGGTTATTTTACCATCAAGTTGTTCTCAAAATTTTCTAATTTTGCCATTGACCAGGGGAAATTTTTCAAAGTGTATTTCTTTCCCTGATAACCAACAAATTCAATTTAATAACTGCCAAAAAGCAGTTCCCCTGGAAGGCAGGAGTGAGAATGGGATTTGGAAGGGAGTATGGAGAGGGCCTCAACTGTATCTGTCAAAGTCAACAACATTCCGAAGAACTGAGTATGGTGCCAACACGCTCATCTGTGCTTAGAATGCCTTAGAACTAAAAAGTAAGGGTCGGGGAGATGCTCTTCTTTGGAATGCTTTTAAGAAAATCAAAATGACAGGCGGTGCCCTACCCCAGTCTGTCTTCATTTGTCATCTTAAAGAGTGGTCTCTTGGGTTCTCCTCTTCAAGAATCCGATAACTTTGTGTTAACATGTTAGTGGTCGGTTCTGTTCTGGAAGCCTCCTGGTACACGTGAGCCAGTGATGACCCGGGCTTGTTTTGGTTTTACACAGGAGGATCTCAGCCCAAACTCACCACCAGGCGGTTAACTTCAACATCTTCGAGGGCATGGTTTGCCATGGGGTGCCTCTGGTGACTATTTCAAGAGGCAGAGTGGTGTATGAAGCAGGTGTTTTCAGCGTCACGGCGGGGCATGGGAAGTTTATTCCGCGCAAAGCATTCGCTGAGCACGTTTACAAACGAATCAAGCAGCGAGACCAGGTGAGCCACACTAGCCACCGGTGCGTCTACCCGCCCTGGGTGTCAGGTTGGTTATTCACTGTTCACGGTGGTGCCATCATGTCAGAGTGGGTTTAACATGCTCCTGGGGTGTCCAGACTGACTCGAGAGCGCAGGCACAAGCCAGCTTTCAATGAAAGAATACCTGGATGTTTGCAGGTGTGTCTGTTACAGTCTTCTTCTCTTTCTTTGTCAGGCTAGGGCCTTGGGTGTCCTGTTCACCATTGTGTTAGCCAAGAACCAGGCATCCAGATGGATCAAGCTGCTGGGGAGGGTGGTTTGTCAGAGACAGCTGTGAGAGAAAGTAAAAAGGAGCCCGGAGAAATGCTGAGAGCCAAGGAAAATGCGGCATGCATTCTGGATGGCTGTACAGCTCAGACCACGTTGGGCTCTGTTTAGGGAGAATCTTTGAGTCTCTGGGTTGCCTGGCTCCAAATGGCACCGGTCATTGGCTGGGAGCTGCTGTGGGAGGCGTGGCCTGCCTGACTGCACACTACTGGGAGTTCTTTGCTCAGCAGCTCTGCCTGAAGAATTGTGCTCCCTTTAGCTAAAAATCTGCATCAGAATTTGGGGAAGAGAGCTCTGAATATGAGCTCCCCCTTGCCTCAGCACTGCCTAGCAAGTTCCCCGGCCAGGAGCAAATTCCTTGTCATCTTTGGGCTCTGCTTTCTCATCTGGAAATTAGATAAAATAAATTTCATCCTCAAATAAGAGTTTTACGTGAATTAATAAAAATCAGTCTCTTTGTGTTCCCATTTTGATAATTTATTCTGTAACAAAGGCCCACAATCTTTGTAACCACTCGGTGATTTTTTTAAAAAAAAGTATTTGTTTTTAATTTATCTTGCATTTTCATGCTTCATTGGTACAGCTTTAAATGCACTAAAATATTGTTTTAAAAAGTTCAGATGGGAAATTTTAGAATTACGTATTTTGAGGGAGGGGAAGCAAGCCAGAGCCCTTGTTTGCACTAATGAAGTTGCCCAGGGCTGTGTGGTGGCCCCAAAGGGTGTGGACATCTTCTCCCCCCCCCCCCCGCCGCCCCATACAGGCTTCACTCAGCCCCGCAGGGTCCTAATGCACGGATTCCTTCCAGAAGGTCTTCTTGTTCCAGTTTTCAAATGTGTAGTCTGCTCCCCAGAATTCTCTAGCTGTTTTCATTTTGTTTAGTTCTTATGGTCTCTCTAATTTCTTTTCTAATGGCTTGTGATTTTGTTTTACTTGAGGATTCCCAGAATCCATCACATAAAACACCTCCACTTTTCAAATCATTTCCTAAGGTTTTGCTTAGGTAAACCAGTGCTCTTAAATACTTTAAGTCCCTCCCAAATATCACAAATCTATTTTTATCTTTACCTTTTTCTTCCTTTTTCTTCTTCTTCTTCTTCTTCTTCTTCTTCTTCTTCTTCTTCTTCTTCTTCTTCTCTTCTTCTTCTTCTTCCATAATGGGTGACAGGTAGGACACATCCTAGGCCTGTGTTCTGCTGAGCCACACCCTGCCTCTATAGTTCTCAATCAACACTGACATTTAAGATGGTGTTAATTTAGAAATATTGACCCTGACAGGTGACAGGTGGTAACTGCAAGGACTGGGGGTTTCTGCTGGTTTGAGTGCTCAGTAGAAACAGTTATGACATTAAATGAGTGAGCATTCCTGAAGACAGACTACAAGGCTGAGGACTGACTGCCTCAGCACACTGAGGCAAGGTGGACGTCTTCCCTCATTTTAAAGATTAAAAAATGGAATACTCAAGGCTTGCTCAGAGTTGGAGAGAAGTCTCAGCCATTAAGAGCATTTGCTGATCCTTTAGAAGACCCAAGTTCTGGTCCCAACAGTCTCATCAGATGGCTTCTTGTACCTTCAGCTCTAAGGGATCTGATGCTTTCATCTAGCTTTCATGGGTACTTTCACCAATGTGACATACACATAAAAATAAAAATAAATACTTTTTAAAACAAGTAATGGTTAGAATTAGAGAGATGGCTTGGCAGTTAAGAGCACTCATGGCTCTTTTGGAGTACCCTGGTTCACGGTTTAAGATCCAGTACCTATGTGGTGGCTCCTCTGTAACTCCAGTTCCAAGGGGTTTGAGACACTCTGCTAGAATTCCCAGGAAACCAGGCTTGCACATAGCACACAGACGTACATGCAAGCAAATATTTTGTTTGTACTCATAAAATATATATTTAAAACATTTAAGTACAGAATGAAAGGCCATGAATCTAAAGGGAAGGGGATGATTTTATACTATAGGCAGCTAATCTTTCCCAGAACTTTTTAAATAAAAAGATGAGACACTGGAAATACTTAAATTTTACATAAAAAGCCATTCAAGGAACAGCTTTAACAGGAAGGAAGGAAAAAAATGAAAGAAATAAAAGAAAAAGACAAAAGTAGCAAAAACTTGGCTGTTTTAAGTTTCCTGAAAGAACAAATTACATATTACTAATTCTTTACCAAACACAAAAGCTCCTTAATTTCAAATGGCTTATATCCCTGAAGTTTTTCTTTATTTAGGGTACTATAATTTTCAACAAAAAATTGAAAGTATGAGCCTTCCTTGAGCTATTTTCTGTCTTCAGTGTTAAGCAACTGCCACCTTTTGTGGAGAATACAGTCACATTGCATTTTGTAGAGAAATCAGAGCAACTTCCTGGAGAAATATATGGATTCAGAATACTGCTGCCAAAGCTTTTAAACTGCCTTGTATCTTTGCAGCGATAAGCATAATTTTCCTTCTAGATAAGAGAAAATTGAGTGGGTGACTGACTCAGTCCTTGAAATGGGTATTTTCCATTTCCAACACTCTAGTTTATCAATGCCTTTCTCAAGGTGGTAGTGTGAGGAAGTCGTTTAACCCACGTCACCGCCTCCCGTACTGGTTTGCTGGATTGATGGCTCAGAATAAGGAAAGGTGGGGAATATGCTGGATCTAGCTCTTTGGCATAAAAGAGATGCTTATGTGCATCTCTGTCCAGTCCTCACTCACTTATGTCACTTTGGCAGCTTGGAAGCAGATGTAAGGACACATTTGCATCCCGGAAACAGGCAAGTGCTACACCCGGGGTGCTAAAGAGGGACGGAAGAGAGAGAGTGGGGCTTGCGGTTAAAATTTACCAGACCACTACTACACAAAGGGAGCTTTGTCTTAGATCTGAGATGCTCCAAAATCTGAAACCCTTTTAAGCATTGGCTTGAAACACTGGGAAACTTCAAATGTCAAATTTTATAGCTAGGAATGCCCAACCAAAATACTTCAAAATATAAAAGATGTCTAGTCTCAAGCATTTTGAGGGGCACTCAAGCTGTGCTGTCTTTGCTTTATCTGACCATTCAATAACGTTCAGCCAGTGATATTTACTGACCATCAATTAGCTGTCATAGTTTAATTCTGACAACCCTGGAGACAAATGGAGGTGACCCTATTTTATAGATTAAGAAATGGGGCTCAGTATCAAGCACATTAATCACAAAGTGTCAACCCTGCTCAGTGCACAGCTCCAGCCTCCTACTTCTCAGACAGGGTCTCACTGCTCCCTCTGCAGCATGGGGGGTCTCACTTCCCCTTCTGTTGACAAACTTAAACAGGGGAGCTCACTCCAAAGGGAGAGGGTTCAACGTCATTGCTCTGTCCTTGGGCAATAGTTCACAGCATATTTTAAGAACCACAAAGCATGCATGTTTCCATCGTTGAGCCCTCTTTTGTTGAATCCAGGGGCTTCTCACATTGTAGTGACCCACTGGGTGCCACTGGGAGGCTCAGCTAAGTGTGTCCTAATGCCCTCTGACTTCACTGGCTGGATTTCACTCTCGGGGTGCTGTCGTTCATTTGGTCTGTTTGGGGTCAGGCCAGTATGCGCTGCCTGGCATTTGGAGTTTCTGTTGTTTTTATGGATAGTTGAGTATCTTGGTCTCCGTGGGTGGCATGGTATCAATCATTCCATTAAGGTCTAAAGAGTCATTTCTATTGTTCTTGTTATTTTCACATAGTCTAGCATCCCTTCATTTCTCTCTCAGTAGATAATATAGTCACATTTTCCATCAGTTTACAGGTTCTTCTTCCCCGATCAACTAACCAGAAAGCATTTCTGTAATTATGTAGCTATTATAATGATGATTGCAATTAACATTTATTCATAGAACTGCATATAATTCTCATTTTTCTTTCTATTAACACATCACAATGGCAATCATAATTAAATATTATGAACTCAAATTGAACTCTCATCTGCTAAAATAATCCACCCATATTCTGTGAAGTGAGGGGCTAATTCTGCTTTCTATGTCACCTAAGGCATCCTTTCACATGTTTTATCTTCAAGCCACCTTATTTGAATGATTATAGTGCTATTGAGATGGAAACCCCTGGTGTGATTGCCACATCTTGACGAGATGGCATGACCCATACCAGATGTGTCCTCAGGTCCCCGGTGTCTTGAGATGCAACTTGAGAAAGTTGTTGAATAATTTTAAATAATGTTGCTTTCAACAGAATGATAAAATGTTCCCAGAGGCCCAATAACCAAGCATTCTCCCTTCATTTCACAAGTGCTTGTTCACCAGACATGATTCAAGGTCCTGGGATACAGGTGCCAGTGAGCCAGCAGTCACTGATCCCAAAGGGCACACATCCAACTCTTCCAACTCTAGCTCCTACTGTGTCAGTCCTCGTTCATGACCCACTTTTACACGCCTCTCTGCTGTGGTTTTCTAGCTATTTGGACAGAGGAATATGGAATGGAAGAGATGAAGGCTGGAGATCAAGTTAAGAGTCATCAAATATAGATTTAAAATCCAAGTGGAGGGTCACCAAGGCAACTGTCAAACAGAGATAAAAGAGGGGTTCTGCTGATGCACAGCGAGCTCAGCCTTCAGAGAACAAGTAAAAGAGAAAACAGCCATGGAGCTGGGGAAAGCTACCCATGAGGCAGAGCAATGAGAACAAAAGTCCCGAAGGCAAGAGCTTGAATCCACTCACTATGTCCAACCCAGACCATCTCAGTCTCATCCAGACCCATGTGTTTTACACTTCATTAAAAATCTGCTGAGAATTAAGTATGCTCGTATCCCTTCAGCAGGAGACACTGGGATGGAGTCTGTGACCAATACTATAATCCCCAAGCATCGATCCCTGGTCCTGTTGTATCTGGGTTCTATATTATGCTAATATTTCATATTTCACACGGAACTTTGTCATTGTCACTAGAGGAAAGGATCAAAACTCGATTTCCTAAATGTGGTGATTACATTTACTTAGAAAATAAATTTTTAGCACTGACTGCTGCAGAATCAGCACTATTTTGTCACAGCGAACGTCTCTTGAGGCTCTGAGAAGCGTATACAGTAGGATGCCAGAGGCGAGGAGAGAGCACAGAGAAGCAGTTGAGGCCAGCCAGGACAGAGCTTGCCCAAACCACCTCTAAGGAAAGGAAAACATCAAAAGGCTAAAGGTTCTGGGAAGCTGAAGGGTAGACCTTTGCCCATTAGAATGAAAGCCTGTGTAGCTCAGAGTCACAAGACCCCGCTTGGTTTGTTTCTAAGGTGGCGATGTGGGCGGGAGTGGCCACCCTTTTCTTGTTGTTCTGGTAGATAACCAGGCCTAGCTCACCCGAAGCCTCTAAGGCAGATAAACAGTAAAACCTCATTCTGAACCTGTCAGACACATGGCTGGTGTGATCACAGTGGGGATGGCCAGGCCACAGACTGCCTAGTGGCCCAAACAGCCTAGCATGGCAGCTAGAGCCATAAGAGGGAGAAGCGTAGGGATGAAGACCTGAGACGAAGGATGGAGTCCGAGGCCACAGATGATTTTAAACTTCTAGATGTGGGGTCTCCAAGTGACCAGAGCATCACTTGAGTGGCACATATGGGAGACTGGCACTGTCTGGATGTCTCAACATGATGACAGGACCAGGATGAAGGAAAGCCATGATGGGGATCAAGCAAAGCCCTGACAAGAGATAGGACAGGTCACGTAGGACAAGGCAGAGGCTCCAAGGTGTTTCAAGTTCCAGAACCAAGGCTGTCTGCACCTGACTCTGTGAGTAAAAGAAGAGTTTGCTGTTGGAACTTCTCACATTTCTGAGAGATGGGTTTTATTTACCATTTCATGGGTGAAGATGCAGAGACCCAGAGGCATTCATTCAATCAGTTTCCTACAAATAATGAGTAAAAGGAGAAAGTTCCAACTTAGATCCAGCCCCCTTCAAAGCCTACAGTGTTGAGCATTACCGTATATTAGTTTGTTACCAATGTGAGGCCCATAGTAATTTGTGTGTGCTTGTGTGTGTCTTTGCTTGCTACTGTATTCGCTAAAACTGTATTCCGCACTAGGCGCTATTCCACATGCTTTATGTTTACTTCTTAGAACAGCCCTGCAGTGAGGCACAGCTTCTCCACCTCAGCTACTACCAAAGGAGCTGAAGCAAGAGTGAAGAGCAGCCCAGGCCAGCTGCCTCTAGAACCCACACTTGTAACCACAGAAATTGACAACCTCTAGATTCAGCAATGAAGTTATGTGCATGTTTTTAAACATCATGACTTAGTTACTTCTCATGAATTCTTTTGCTCATAAAGTTCAGAATGCTTTTCAAGTTCTGAATTAGCTGTATCTGAGGCTGTTGCCTCAGATGAGGTGAGATTCTACAGATCTTTTATGCACCAAGCAACCAGGAAAATGAAGCATGCATGCAAATTATCCTCTGTGCAGCAGATAAATGAAAGGTGCTAGAGAGAGAGAGAAAGAGAGAGAGAGAGAGAGAGAGAGAGAGAGAGAGAAGAAGCATTCTGAGACCATAGGCACCTGGGATGGAAGTAAGAAGAAAGGGCAGTTAGGACAGGTGAGATGGCTCAGCTGTTAAGGACACTGGCTGCTCTTCCAGAGGATTTGGGTTCAATTCCTAGCACCCACATGGCAGCTCACAGTCATTTGTAATTCAGTTCCAGGAAATCCAACGTCCTCTTCTGGCTTCTGTGGACACTGCCACATACGTGCAAGCAAAACACCAATACACATAAAATAATGAATTTTATATATTTTATAAGTATATAAAATAATAGATATGTAAAAATACCACTTTAAAAAAAAAGGAAAGACAGAATGGGAGAAAGGGCTGTAGGGAACGGTGTGGAACTTACAAAACTGTGAGGCTAGATGGAACATTTCCTGGCCTGCTTTCTTTTCCCTCGGATTTTTTTTTTGGCTAGCGTACATGGATGTTTGAATGTGTGTGGGCACGTGTATGGTGAGTGTGCATATGCTCACAGGCCATTTATGTTGAGGCCAAAGTTGACCCCATGTGCCTTCCTCTGTCACTCTTCCACTTTCTTTAATGAGGGAGGGCCTCTCAGTTGGACCTGGAACTCACGGATCAGCTAGTCTAGCTAGCCAACTTGCCCTAGAATTGGCTCTGCCTTCCCGGGGCCGGAATTATGAGCAGCCGCACACCTGCTTGGCTTTTACCTGTGTTTGGGGGCTAACTCTGATCCCCAATCCTGAGGGGCAGGCACTTTGTCCACTTTATCCCATCTCCCAGGGCTTGTGGGTCTTCCCTCAGAGAAGACATCCCAGAGGGAGAGCCAGGAGTAAGACATAGGATGCACATGGTAAATTCACAGCGTTATTGCTATCACGATTCATCAGAAAGCTACGGCTAACTGGGAACTCAAGAAGCGAGTAGAGCACAGGAGAGAAACAAGACGGTTTCTGTTTCAGACCTGCACACCTGTGCCAGTGAGGCGTGCGCCCTACGAGGGAGAAGTCATAACACTGAAATCCAGAGAGACAAAGGAAGATGCCGCTGGAGCCAGGATGCAGCGCCACTGCTGATCCGGTGCAGAGGTTGAGCCAGTGCCACGTAAGTGTTCCGGAGTATCAGGACATGGTTGTCAGCACATAAAATTAGCATCTTTCTTCCCAAGCCTTTGAAGAGTCAGAACTGCAGAGCAGAGGCCTGAGAAAGGCCCTGATGACTTAGAACATTTGACGGGCAGTAGTGATGAAACAGGCCTTGAGCTGAGGATTCATTCTCTAGAGTGTTAGGAGGTGTTCCAAAAGAGCCCTAGACAATCTATGAGCGCAAAGCTATAGACTAGGCCAGACAGAGAGTCGTGCCAGCTGTACCAAAAGCATGTTCCATGGGCAATATTTGAAAACCAACTAGAACTTTTTGTGGAAAAAAGATGATTCTTTGCATTGTAAATGCAGTATGTTCTATGGTTTAGAATGCATGAAAAATGAATAAAATTGAGGAACTAAGGGAAAGTTACACAACTTTTTGAGAAACAGTTTTCTAGAAATATTTGGCAGCATACTTCGTTTCTGGAGGAGTGTAGATGTCAGTATGCAAAGACTTCTGAACTTTGGTCTGTCTACTGCTGCCTTTTGTGATGGGGAGCTTTCTGTTTTGAAACTCCTACTACTTCCATTTTTTTCCAGTTTCTTTCCCTCTGTTGTTTTCTGTTCCTTCTCTTCCAAATCTGTATTACAGGTCAGTGCTACAGTTTTAGCGTCCATATTTGCCACTTGGTGGTTTTACTAGATTCTGGTTACCTCGTTAAATTGTTTCAACACACAGCAATCTGAGAGAGTCTTCTGCTGGCAGGCATTCCCATCCTACAACCTGTGGGTCACAGGGTAAGGTTACACAGCCCAACACAAAATCATAAACGTACCTAAAACATCATGAGATGCTTTTGCAGTCGTGGGAACTTGATTGTGCACTTCTCAAGTGTAAACTTTAGAGATCATGGGGTGCTGTCATCACAGGGTGCTGTCAAAGGGTCAGACGCTGCCACTCGAAGCTGACCTGATGGATGAAGGTGTGTGTGTGTCAGCTGGAGCACTGCTGGACTCAGGTCTGGTCTTCTGCACACTCGGGAACTGCACACATTTGACAACCACTTCCTGCTTAACCCTGTGACAGCAGGGATTTGGATAATGAGCCCCTGGATACTGCAGATCTGGGCCCTCATGCACGTGCTCTCTCATTGTTGAACATTGTCTTTTTTTTTTTTTTTTTTTAACAATGCCAGCCTCAAGCTTCAGTATTTCTGTCATTTCCATATTACTGGAATTATTCATGTGACTCAGAAAGATTATATTTAAAATTCCAGAGATTAGCGAGAGAAAGAAATGACGCTGGGTGTGATCACATGCTAGAGCTTCTGTAGAGAAAGGCTTAGTGTTTGCTTTGATTAGAACATTTCTTGGTGTTAGCTTGAATGCAGTCTCCCTTTGTGAGGGAGAGCGCTACACCGAGTGCCTTTTATTTTCTTCAAAGGCAAGAACAGAGAAGAGGCTCCCAGGCTCCCCTCCTGCCATGCTGCCAGCCTGTGGAGAAGCGCCTGTTATCTCAGCTCCTGAGATCTTTCAGAAAAAATAATCGCTGTGGGCCTCTTTGATTTTTCCCTCAGAAGCAATAGCTGTCTACTTCACTGTGCCTTTGTTGCTGTGGAAGATTGAAGATATAAATGAATATTATTGGGATGGAAAGCCCACATGAAAATTCATCGACGATTCTTTTCAAATGCCATCTTTCCTTATTTTAGATTTCTTTCTTTGGATTTTTAAAGATCACCTTCCTGTGTAAAGGTTTTGTTTGTTTTGTTTTAATGGCTATGTTTGCTTGAAATAGCACTGTGATTTTACATTTCATTGCAATTAATAAACATTGAGAGTTTCATCTTGTATTCTAGTATCTGAGTTCTATGTCTTTTTCTACCTAGTGGGTGGGACTAGGGCCCTGAGGATTGGTTTTCACAAGAGAACATGATTTCTTGTGTATCAGTAGCACCTGTAAGTCAAGTCCCTTACTTGATGGGTCCCAGGAAATCAAATCAGGTACTCAGCCATTAAGAGTCTGAGGAAACTATCCAATCACATTGATGGATTCAGGATTTGAGGGGACTGAAGGGAATAAGCATTTGCATGAGGATACTGTGTTGATCTGTTGTTCCCCCCCAGGCCTTTCCTGTGTCTTGGTCCCTTTGTGCAGCAAGGCTGGGCTTCTCTCTCTTCTCCTGGGTAGGCAGGCCAAGGGGGCTGTCTTTGGATATACCCACACTCTGATGAACTAGTCCAGGAGAGGACGTGCTGGCACCTTAACAAAGGGTAGTGGAGCTCAACTGCCCTTTCAGAGAATGAATTTTAAGAAAGGATGGAGAGGACAGGAACTCCACAAGGAGAGCAACAGAACAAGAAAATTTGAACACAGGGAACTTCCCAGAGACTCATACTCAAACCAAGGACTATTCATGGAGATAACCTAGAACCCCTGCACAGATGTAACCCATGGCAGTTCATTTTCCAAGTGGGTTACATAGTAATGGGAAGAGGGACTGCCTCTGACATAATCTGATTGGCCTGCTCTTTGATCACCTCCCGCTGAGGGGGGAGCAGCCTTACCAGGCCACAGAAGATGACAATGCAGCTACTTCTGATGAGAACTGATAGTCTAAGATCAGAAAGAAGGAGAGGAAGACCTCCCCTATCAGTGGACTTGGGGAGGGGCATGCATGCAGAAAGGGGAGGAAGGGTGGGATCAGGAGGGGAGGAGGGAGGGGCTTATGGGGGTACAAAATGAATAAAGTGTAATTAATAATAATAATAAAAATATTAAAAAAAGAAAGGATGGTAAGCTGCACCCGAAGAGAAAGCTTCTAGCTCAGGTAAACTGCAAATCTTTTCTTCCTGGGTTAAAAGATATTGTAAGGCATTATATTATTTTTTTCCATCCTGCACTTTGCCTGACAATTCTGCAATAGAACAGAGTCCTTTGACAGTGAATAAGTAAGTTGCTTTCTTACCCAGAAGCCAGTCCTCACACACAATTTAACGTTCACTCGAAATGTCACCCTCTCCCAGCAGCTTTCCAAAGGAGGTCCCTCTTTTATGCATCTCCATGGTGGGGCCCAACATGCACTCCATCATTGTGCCTCACTCATGCAGTAAGCAGCTACCATCTGCATTTGCAGGGTCTGTGGATTCAGCCAATGGATCAAAAATGTCTCAACAAAACAGTGTCGATTTTATTTCCTTGTCATGAGTCTCTAAACAATATAGTATCTCAACTCTCTACACAGCATTTACTTCACTTTAGGAGATAAAAGGAATCAAATATAAGGGAGGGTGAGCACAGGGAGTTAATATGGTGTCATTTTGTGTAAGTAATGTAGGCATCCTCAGACTTTGGAATCCACACTGTGCTGAAGCCTGCTCCCTGCACTCACTTGCTAAGGGACTGACTCCTGGAGCTGCTTACTTCACTTCTCTGTCTCTCTGGAAGCTGAAAGCCACTCAGAGGAGGTGCTTGTCTGGTTCCCTCTCCCACCTCTCCTGCACCCAGCACAGTGTGTGGTCAGTGATGGACAGTCGGTACTCAGGAGATACTTTTTAATTTTTAAGTAAAAGAGAAAGTGAAAGAACTGCTGGGTTCTTCAGCTGATACAGATGAAGTTGAACAGCCTTCAGTGATGCAGAAACAAACTTTGAAGTCTTCTCCAACACAGCTCCAACACGGAGAGGGAAGTGACTACAGGTTTCTGTTCCAGCAAAGTCTTTGGAAATGCATATGGAACTCCCTTTGTGTTTTCTAGATAGGCTGTGAGACCAAGCTCCTTTTCATACACCTGTTTAAAATTGATCTTCATAAACCTCAGTTCCCTCATTTACAAGAAAAAACAAAACAAGACTTTCCCCCTCCACAGGGTGTCCTTAGGCCTGTGACACCCAAGCCTACACAGTCTCAACATAATGAGTCTTCCAGAAGGCCTTGGCTATTGTGTTCTCTCCTCGAAGTTCACCACATTTGGAAGTACTAACCCCTTTGTGGTGGCAGAAGAATGGAAGCTATGAAAAGGAGGGTTCAGGCACAAGATGAGGGCATTCAGCCATCTTGGAGATGTGTGTGGACATGATGGCCAGGATGTGGACATCAAGAGCAGTGTGAGCAGGGATACATTTGGAAGCATGGGGTAGATGAAAGACTGAATCAGCCACATCCCAGCATCTTCTATGGAAGAGGTTGTTAGGAGTTTGGAACTAAACCTGCTTCTGGGTTGCCTAGCAATTTATGATGTCATCATATGTCGCTGGCCAGATGGCCACACCTGGAAGGCATGGTTACCTTGTCCCTTAAAGGGACAACCCAACACATGGTCCCTCTCTTGGTCCTTTTTCTCTTGGTGTCTCTTGCTCCTGGCCTTTTGGCCTTCTCCCCTTTTTTCTATCGGGGTGCCCCCTTCTCTCTCTTTCCTCTTCTCTCTCTTTTCCCTAATCTCTTTCTCCTCTCTCCCCTCCCTCTCTCTTTTCCCCACTATGTTCTGCTCTCCTTTCATATCCACCTAATAAACCACTTTCATAGAAGATCTGCTGTATGCCTAATTGTCTTTATTTAATTTGTCCCATAACATTACAGAGGTAGCACTATGGACTTGTCAAAGACTGGAAGGTTGTAAAAGCTGCATTTGAATCAGCTGATAAGCATCCTAAGTTTCAGTTCTTCTATTGATAAAATGAAAATTTAGTAGCTAAGGCAATTTTCTATGTAAGAATGGCTAAAGACTAATGTCTTAGTTAGGGTTCTAATGCTGCAGTGGAACACCAAGACCAAAAAGCAAGTTGGGGAGGAAAGGTTTTATCTGGAGTCCATCACTGGAGGAAGTCAGAATAGGAACTCAGGCAGGGCTGGAACCTTAGAGGCAGGAGCTGAGGCAGAGGCCATGGAGGAGTGCTGCTTTCCTGGGCTTGCTCAGCCTGTTCTCAGGATCACCAGCCTGGGGATGGCCCCACCCACCGTGGGCTGAGCCCTCCCACATTGATCACTAATGAGAAAATGCCTTACAGCTGCATCTCATGAAGGCATTTCCTCCACTGAGGCTCCTTCCCCTCTGATGACTAACTCGTGTCAAGTTGACACACAAAACCAGCCAGTACAACTAAGATACTATGTGTAATGCCCTGGCTCCCTCCTCTCCTTCCTCCACACGGCTTTTCCCCTCTTCTTTCCCAACTCCTAACACTGAGTCCCTAAGAAAGCACACAATATAATGATTAGATTTCTTTTTGTCAAACCATTCTCTCTCTTTACTTCTTTCTGAAAAATACTTGTGGATAAGTCTTTTAAACAGAGCGACCATGCCATCGTTTATTCAGCACCTGCTGTTTGTAGTGTGCTGAACCTGGCCCTTCATTTTGGATGCCACCGCCCCTGCACAGCTGCACAGGATAGCATGGAAAGAACTCAGGAAATCTGTGTTGAAGGAACGGAATCACCTTGGAGCTAAGAGGCAGGGAAAGAGGAGAAGACAGTTGTGGTGCATAATGAAAATTAACTCCACAGCAAATCATGACTGTGCTCGTGGTAGGGGCTGCATCTGCTTTAAGAGCCATCCATGGAGAGGCAGTGCTGTTAAACCACACGGACCTGACCCCTGGGACGCTGAGACAATGGTGTTTGTGTAAAAGCTGGAGGGGTAGAGCAGATTAACTGGGCCTTTTTAAAAACTGTGTTTGTTGTTCTGGTTTGGTTTGGTTTGGTTTGGTTTTGGTTTAGCTTGGTGGGTTTTGTTTGTTTGTTTTCTGTTATACTAGAATGTTGTTTTCACAGGAACACAGAACCTCTGGGCTTTTCTTTAATGAAACCTTAACTGTGCTCATAGAGTGTCAATGTAATGCCTATTAGGCCTTTATCATGTGCCTGTGCCAGGGCTAAGCTCTGTGTGACTCCATCACCTAATTCTGTCTACAAGCTTATGAGATGGCATTGTCCTTAGCTAACAAATGAGAAAACCAAGACTCAAAGTTTTAGTAATTTCCCGAAGTGTGACTGACATCCATTTGGTGGGCAGGTGGCTTAAGATGCAAACCCCAGGCTTTTAATAAATAACTGTTCTAATGTATTCCTTAGTCAAGTGTTTCTCCGTTGTAAAAAGCATGACACGAAAACAGCCCACAAATCTCAGAGATGAAGGAGTTGTTTCCACCCAGAAGAGAACAGCTATCCAATAATGGATAGCTCTGAATGCTGGGTTTGGGGTCCAATCAGTCAGCAAGGACCAAGGCCAAGGAACCAAGTCACTCTGGAATTGGACTCAGTAGTAGAATCACTAGGGTGCGGTGAGACAGAGGAGAGCACACACAAAGCAGCCAGCACAGAGCCGGAGGGGAGTGAGGAGGGGGTGAGCGAGCACCTGGCAAATTATCCAGCCTGTGCCACTCCCCTTTGGGAAGGGACTGAAAAAAGAGGCAAGTACTGCCACACTCTGCTCATTACCC